ACCTAGCTTATAAAAATGCAATATGTTTAGTAAAATGCAATTTGTGTTCAATTTCTCCAATGGGTAAAATTTAAAAATAAAAGTATATTCGAAAAGACCAATCATGAGGGTGATTTACTTTCTATAACTCAGAAAACAAAAATGTGTTTTGTTTGAACAACCAGTTGTAACACAATTAATGGCTGTATTCTCCATATACTAATAATCCTGGATAAGAGTTTAGGCTCGCCTAATTCGAAAATTTCATATGCACCGTAAGAAAATTAGAGTTTTGCCTGCTTGAAGTTTGGCCCTCCATTTTGGCGACTCGGAGCTTTTGTGATCACAACCTAGCTTTCTGTCTGCGGTGGGGACTGACAAGTCCCAATATAACTTACAATTGTACCTACCATGGACAGATATTTATATACCTACAACATTCAACCTTCCGTCCTGGGGCTAATTTCACTGTCTAAAAAAATGTTTTTCTTTTATTTCTCAGGGACGGACTATTATTAAATAACATTGTGACAACTTCCTCAAAATGAAAGTTCGGTGTATGATGTGTTAGATATATTTAATATAAGGTACTTCAAAAGTGTACATGTTTTTTCCTTACTAGCAAATTCGATTTATAGTAATTTCACATATATTTTGTGTTTTTTCATGACGAGGAAATTTTCTGCTTTATATATATGATGCAATTGGCCGATACTTGAAGAAAATTCATAACTAAAATATTCAAAAAATACTTCGCGTGTAAAGACATGCCCGAAGAAGCCATTGTATGACGAAACACGTGTTGCATTTTTGTAAAACTGTTTAGTGAAAATCTCACAATAAAGAGTTTTTTGAATACGTTATTTTCTGCTTCGATGTGCTGGAATTGAACTTCCATAATATAAAATATATTTCATCAGTTCGGACTTCCATCGTCTAATATAATATAAATTGATTTGAAATCTCTGAAAGAATCTGTAAAAAATTAAAAAGATTAACCGAAAAATAATTCAACCATCTTCCAATAAACATAAAATATATTGTCTCTACCTGAGATTCCTTTCACTTGAATACAGAAAAATATTTCCTCTACTTGAATCGCACAATTTAGACCAGTTATCTTTTCAGGCGGAGCCACATGTATTTCGGGCTTCAGAAAGTTTGGCTCAAATAACTACGGTGCCTAACATCAACATTCTAGTCGAGTTTAGTAAAGCTTGGCTTTGCATGATATACGGAGAGAGAGGACATAAGGAATTTTATTTTGTTCAACTTTGTTCATAATGATTCAATCCAGTTCAGTTCAGTTTATTTATTGTTGTGAAATTACCGAAATCCAATTTTTCGATACTGTGAATAAAAAATTTATGAATTTCAGTATGTGTCGAAGCTTTGAAGAAGCACTTCGCTATTTTCTTCCAACAATAAATTATTTCTGGGAATTTTAAGTTGAAGCCGAAGATATATATAGGGTTCGTTCATTAACAACCTGAGGCTCGAAAGGGAGAGGAGAAGGTTCGGGTTTGAGAAAATTACTTGAAAATAGCCGTGGAGTTTACCGGCAATAGATCTTGGAATCTATGAATTTTTTGCATTTTTCGTCTCCTTCGTTTCAATTTTTATTGCATGCACTTTTACAACTCAAATGAAGTTCTACTTTCTTTTGTAGTAGCTAGTGAAAGGTGCCAAACAGATACCACCAAACCAATGGTGATGAGATGATAAGACAAATATCTTATCCCGAAACTTCGAAGTACACCATTATGAATGATAGTGTTTCAAATAAGTGACATTCTATACCAACCCTTTCACATATCGACATTCCTATGAATGATATATTTTTCGATCACATAACAATATTTTATTGATTTTGGAGTAATTGAGTATACATCAATAGCTGATATCGGGAACTAAGATACTGACATCAGAAACTCCCAATTTCTTCTTCTTTTCTCTTGAACTGTATCGCTCTGTGAACTCACTTCACGATGCTATGCTCTTGCGGAAAGATCTTTATAACTTAGTTGAATGAAGTCAAATCAATGAATTGAATCTGAATGTGAATAAATACTTTATTATTTCTTTCTTGCCAGTGAATGCCAGTTATCATATGTAAATGTATCAAATTAGAGGTCTGGGTGTAAAATTTGATACCTAGTTGACATTTTCCAACACATTGTTGAAATAATACATTGAGAATATTTACTGCTCACATGAGAGATCGATTTTGGGATACTTTTTTGTTGTCTAAGCTCTATAATATGACTGCTATGTTATTCAAATTTAACGTGTCCAAGAAACATATATTTTTGAGCTGAGTTTTGCCAGAGATCAGTATAAATATGAAGATATCGACAAAAATCGGAATATCATCTCACTTTCACATAGAAGATCTGTCTGTAACCTTATATCTATCTTCAAAAACTGCACTAAGTTACTTCGCACCATTCGAAATATTTGCAATTTTTCACTCCACCACTTATATTCGAGATCAATTCGAAACGTTTTCGGGAGAGTGTGTTTAGAAATATGTGTTTAAAAATATAAATTAAGATATATAGTCCCAATATGTAAATACATTTTAAATACAGAAACAATTTACTTCATACTTATACATCTTCCTATTTTTATAAAATCTTGCAGGTAAATATTCACCAAATCGTCAGGTTATGTTTTAAATTTTGTGGGGATTAGGGATTGATGCGGTTGATAACCCAAGTCGTAGACTTTTTTTTTTGCTATCGCCTCATTCAGGGGATCATTGTATTTTACATTCATCTGTTCATGACACACATTCCAACATTTTTAATCTGAACTAATTATCTCCATTACTTTGTTGAATTTGTTGCAGTTGAGATCTTCGTTGTACAACTCTTTTCGTGTTCTCTAAATGGACAGTATCCAATGAGTATAGCTCTGTAATGATCTCGAGTCAATCGATCACTGTTGTCCTGCAGAAACTCTTCAATTCTTTAGCCAGACTGAATTTCACTTGCGTGGTCCCAGGGATATTTTCGCAGTATTCTTTATATTCCTGCCTAACCCATCTACTCGTGAGATTCTGGGCTGATGATTTTGTTCATGTTCTTTATGCTCCAAGTGGATGTAGCCTGTCGTGACCTTACTAGTGAACGAGACACTGACTTTGGAACTTTGATAGCCAGTTTCAGCTGAAGAAACTTTGAATATTGTGAATTTGTTCGTTGGTTGAACAAAATACTGGAAAATCAGTGTGAATCATCAATCATCAATTTACGTTTTGAAAAAACATGTTTTCATTTCCAAAATGAATAATAAACTATGATTCAGTGGGGCAATGGGCTCTTCGTTCATAATAATGATCTACTTCTCTAAAATAAATCTTAAATAAAAAGAATTACTCACGTGTTTATTTCCCAGAATAATCTCAAAAAACAGTGTTTATAATGTGAAGAATTTATTTCGAAGTGAACTTCCTTCTTTCTATTCGAAACAACTAATGAAATCATTTCGAAATAATGAAGAATGAAACATTTTATTTAGATATGAAGATTGAAAACTAACGTCATCACATCTACCCAATGTTTTATCAAAAATAAATTGTGCTATAGCATATGTCATAACTCAAAATTGTGGTCAACAAATACATATCGTTGAATCTGCTGAATATCTTCCCAGTAGAAGTAGATTCAATGGTTACACTGACTTCATTTTCAGACACAATAGCCAGATCAGTTTATAGAAAAACGTTTGATGAAATGAAAGAAAAACAACCATTATTACAAAATAAGTTCAAGGCAAAGTCAGAAAGAAAGATCATTACAAACGGAAGAAAGAAATATACCAAAAATCATCCGGTTATTGAAATTATCGTCTCGATCAACTGAATTTTACAAGCTCAATAAAATGACTAGAATGAGATTTTATGAGGAACGTGATGAAAAAATTGGAGAAACAGAAGGATATCCCAGATAAAGTCAGAAAGAGAGCTAAGATTATTACTAGCGGAAGAAAGAAAATATATCAAAAACCATCCAGGTATTGAAATTCTCGTCACATCAACTAAGCTGAGTTGAGTTGAGTTACAAGCTGAGGAAAATGACTAGAAAAAGATAATTGGGGAACGTGATGACAAATAGGAAAATGAGATGGATATCCCTTATAATAATAATAATCGTCTTTATTATTTCCAAAAAAACAAAAATACTGATAACTACCTAGATATTATTGAAAATGAAGGGCAAAGTTTATTTTTGTTAAGTGTTAGCCACCGTCAAAAATATTCTTCCACCACAATTCATCTCGTTACCTGGTAATTGATAGATAAAAGAAAAATAGCACTATTATCACATAATTCTTTCATATTGAAAACCTTCCTCATCGTCTTAAGGAAATTATCTTTTGTGTTTTGAGAAACCGTTTTTCCCAGAGGGTATTACTTTAGGTTTCACTTTCAGTATACAGATAAACGAATAATCATAAAAGTACCAGACATTGAGGTTCCACAAAAATGTCCTTCAAACAGTACTACTTATTTACTCTTTCTAACGTTGAAAAAATCCATGGAAATTTTAAATTTTGACAATAAATACGCGTCTATGTGTTCAAACAAAATTACTGGGAATCTTCTAAATGCTTGAATGGACATTAAGTTCTCTTTGGAATCATACACCAACTGAAGAATTCTCAGGTGAAATGGTTCATACATTTATAAACCTCGAAGAATTTCTTCGGTAGAGAATACGAAGAATGTGAGCTTCTACACCTTCCGGCTATATAAAAATACAGTTATTAATTGCTACCTCTCTCTCATGTGAATATGATCGATGTTAATCGATAAGTTGGTAAACAAATAAGAATAATTTCTATTTTCAAATATTTTCAAATATATGGGAATAAGAAGTGATATTACATCCTGAATGAGTGCGATGAACACATAAGACTGTGATTGAAGACAATAAGCATTGGAATACAGGTCAAATCAACCAAGATGAACATTACATCATTTTCATACTTCACTAGTTTGAAAGACGTAGACTTACCAATATTGCTGCAACTGCCAAGAAAGAAAAGAAAAAGAAATCCACAGCACAGTTATTTCGCACAACGTTCCTAACACACCTAAAAATTCCACCGTTCCACAATAATAATTCTACCGTAGTATTTATCACTTATGTCATCAGTTTTCGCACTATTCCCAGCAAGACAACCGAAAATTCTCAACGGGTATGCCCCAGGGAAGGGTACTGAGTACACAGGGCTCTAGTTTCCCAATAACTAGGCGAAAATTGTGTGAAATTCCTCCAGAGTTCGGTAATGACGTCGACACTTGGTTGGCTAGAACGCGGCCGTCTCAGGTAACTATGTTTCTTGGCAGGTAGTGACGAGGAACGTGAAAGAGAGGGGATTAAACAAGAAGTTAAGGTTAGAGGTAGAACTGCGATGTTGCCAGTATATAGAAAAATGTTGATAACTAATGTTTTTTGATATCTATTCAGGAGTGACCATGTATCAAAATCGAAGTTCTCGGATTTTTGTTTCACTGTTATGTGAAATAAAGATTCGAAAAATTGTCTCATTTATTGTGATTAAATCAAAAGTTTTTCAGAGGTTTTATTTTGTTTCTGCAGAGCGGAAAAACAAAGTGAAAAGTATCAATCAATGCGTTATAAAATATCGCAATGAGTTTGAGAATGCAATTCAATTTAAAAAAAGGAATAGTTGAATATTGTTTTTCTTTTTTATGGAGATTGGGTATTGTTCAATATATCAATGTTTCCACATTTACGGGGTCCCTTTCTAGGTTTTTTCAATTCTTCAACTTCATAGGTATGAGGTGGATTGCCATATTAAACACTCGAGAGATTTGTGGAGGTTTCCTAATAATTATGTACAATCTCATATTCAATATCATAATCATGATAATTTCAATTTCACAATGGTTGAAAAAGATCAATAGAAATTTCCTATCGATCACAATCTCACTTGAAGTCTCCTTATATATCTTCCTATTTTTATAAAATCTTGCAGGTAAATATTCACCAAATCGTCAGGTTATGTTTTAAATTTTGTGGGGATTAGGGATTGATGCGGTTGATAACCCAAGTCGTAGACTTTTTTTTTTGCTATCGCCTCATTCAGGGGATCATTGTATTTTACATTCATCTGTTCATGACACACATTCCAACATTTTTAATCTGAACTAATTATCTCCATTACTTTGTTGAATTTGTTGCAGTTGAGATCTTCGTTGTACAACTCTTTTCGTGTTCTCTAAATGGACAGTATCCAATGAGTATAGCTCTGTAATGATCTCGAGTCAATCGATCACTGTTGTCCTGCAGAAACTCTTCAATTCTTTAGCCAGACTGAATTTCACTTGCGTGGTCCCAGGGATATTTTCGCAGTATTCTTTATATTCCTGCCTAACCCATCTACTCGTGAAATTCTCTGCTGATGATTTTTGTTCATGTTCTTTATGCTCCAAGTGGATGTAGCCTGTCGTGACCTTACTAGTGAACGAGACACTGACTTTGGAACTTTGATAGCCAGTTTCAGCTGAAGAAACTTTGAATATTGTGAATTTGTTCGTTGGTTGAACAAAATACTGGAAAATCAGTGTGAATCATCAATCATCAATTTACGTTTTGAAAAAACATGTTTTCATTTCCAAAATGAATAATAAACTATGATTCAGTGGGGCAATGGGCTCTTTGTTCATAATAATGATCTACTTCTCTAAAATAAATCTTAAATAAAAAGAATTACTCACGTGTTTATTTCCCAGAATAATCTCAAAAAACAGTGTTTATAATGTGAAGAATTTATTTCGAAGTGAACTTCCTTATTTCTATTCGAAACAACTAATGAAATCATTTCGAAATGATGAAGAATGAAACATTTTAGAAGGATTTTATAACATAAACCAGTTATTCCACTTTTATCAAAACAAATTCAAACTGTTCAAACTAAATGAAGTGTCACTCACTTGGTTTACATGAATATTCTCAACAAATTTTGAGCTCAAGATCTAATATTATTACTTAGCTATATCCATCCATGCGTGATCAAAGCATGATTACCACTCACATATACATCTCTTGGGTAAAATAAACAAGCCTCCTTACGCTGGCCAATCAGATTAACCTGTAATCGGCTGACGGGTTTCATTTGTTACAGTGTCGAAGTGTTCAGTTATGTTTTAACGCCTGGGGTGTTTACATATACGGCATTATAAAGTTTTGAAATTTCAAGTACTGATACCACTGAAGAAACTGATAATTTGTGTCCCTACACTTCTCCTGAAAATTTTTCCTACATCCAGCCGCATATTATTAAAAAAGATTGATCGTTCCTTAGTGCGACTTTGTACAAGCAGTCTTATCTGCTTAGATGGAGTATAGTAACAGTACAGTTGCTATCTAACATCAGACCTGTCGTCAGGGGATGAACTAAGCTTCCAAGGCGTATCACAACCTGTAAATTCATATCATTTACCTTATTACCTGTTCGGATTGTTATAATGTTGTTCTATGTTCATTTTATTTTACTTGACGATCTTACATAACTGCTGGAATATTCATATTTGTAGACATGTAATTGTATGATATGTATTCTGGAACTCGAGAGGTGAGTTTTTCGTCTCAGTAATATCATGTCAACATATTCATAGACATATTATCCAATACATTTCTGGTTATTTAGTTCAAAAAAAAGTATCTATCTTCCTTTGAATTTTATCTTCAAGAAATCTAGTCCAAAAAGTCCAGATACCACACTACACATTAGTCCTGAACAGATCTTGATTTTCACATTCAACAACCTTGAAAGGTTTGATTTCATTTTGATGGTAAATTTTTCTCGCGGATTTTTTTGTTATGCCAGTTCTATTAATAACATCTTGTGAATTATTTTTTATGCTCAGCCACATCAAGACATCCATCCAATTCACTACATTATTCTTCATTTGGTGGTTTTGTCGGTAATTATGACTAATTTAAGAGATACATAATACCACGTAAGTGCCTATTACTTGCGGTATTATTGAACACCATTTTTCATTCACTAGTTATCGAAAAACTCATGTTTTACACTTTTCAAATGAATAAGATATATGTATAATGCGAATTTATGGGCGACACTGTATACCTTCAGGGGTAGTATGACCACACTAACATTCACTTCAGTTTAAGGTTGATCAATACAGCGGTGATATAGGCTATATGAAGTCAATTCGATTGGCATAAAAACTGAATAGTTACCGAACATCGGCAGTTTCTTTGAATGGCATGGGCGTCGTGGTATAATTTACGACGTCTAATTACTATTTTTATGTGGAAGGTTTTATATGGTATTAAGTAGTAAATTTATCTGACCCGGTACATTAGTCTTTCATTCAGATGTTCGGATTGACTTCGTATATACTATACTTGAATTACCGAATTGTACCGTCTTGAAAACCAATCTCTTTCACTCTGAGTCAGATATCTAAGAGACTCGTTACCTCTGAGCGAATTCATATTAAGACATTGTGAAAAATTTTGTATTTAAACAGTAACTTATCGGGGTGACCTACACGTGTATAAAGTTATACATCACAATTTCCGTATTTTTCAGATTGTGGGAGATGAAAATACTCAAAAGACGTTGACTTAAACTAATCATTTCTACTTTGGATTCATACTTAAACTTCATACTTTATTTCATGTGAACTTATATCATCCTTTAAGTTTTTTTCTATCATTGGGTGTACGTACGCCAATAAAAAATAAAAATATCATTATGTACTACAGATAGCAAAAACACCCCAATAGGTTTTGAAGGGTGGTAAATTATCATCAGTCCTGCAATGTTATTTTGGTATAATATATGTTTCATGTTGATATTATCGCATATCCAGAATTTACACAATCAACTACAAAATCAATTGGATAAAGTATTTTCGTTTAACTCAATTTTTATATTGAAGTAGCTGTTATGAATGTACTTTTTTATCGCTAAATTCAATGTTAATTTGAAACTAGTTGTTTCAACTGTTGGCAACACTTGGTTGCCAAAAACAGGAAACAACACATACTAACGAAGTGAAACAACGAAAGCCTACCGCAGATTTGTCGTTCCAGTTAGAAGATCCAAAATTTCCAAGATACACCCAACATGTCCACATAGGCAGCTACAACTACTGGATCCAGGATATAAATATAAAAGAATGTTATCAAGTGTATATGATCTGAATCAATTAAAAAAAGAAGGGTTGACGAACACAGCACTATTGAAAAGCGGGGGGGCGCAGACACCTTTTTTTGGCTATTGGTCTCTTGGTCTCTTGGTCTCATCAGCGCCGTGCAGCCAAGTGCAAAGATAAGCAACACAGCACTATTGAGAAATGGCGGGGGGAAAAACCGCAGACACCTGTTTTTGGCTATTGGCCTCATCTGCGCGGTGCAGCCAAGTGCCAAGATAAAGAACACTTGGTTGCCGAAAACAGGAAATATCATATACCAACGGAGTCAAACAACAGAAGCCTATCGCAGATCAGTGATTCCAGTTAGAAGACCCAGAATTTCCAAGACACACCCAACATGACCACGTAGGCAGCTACAACTACGGGGTCCACGATATATATATAAAAAATGTTATCGAGTGTATATGATCTAAACCAATGAAAAAAAAGGATTAGCGAACACAGCACCGTGCAGCCAAGTACCATCACATACCAACAAACATCACATACCAACGGAGTTAAACGTCAGGAGTCTATCGCAGATTTGTGGTTCCAATTAGAAGAGCCAGCATTTCCAAGATACACTCAACATGACCACGTAGTATCAATTAAAAAAGGAGGGTTCACGAACACAGCACTATTGGAAAAGGGGGCGATACCTGTTTTTGGTTATTGGCCTTATCAGCGCCGTGAAGCCAAGTGCAAAGATGAGCAACACTTGGTTGCCGAAAACAGAAAACATCACATACCAGCGGGCTCAAACAACAGGAGCCTATCGTAGATTTGTGGTTCCAGTTAGAAGACCTAGAATTTCCAGGATATTCACATGACCACGAACGCAACTACAGCTATTCCCGAAATTATCAAGAATTTCAAACTCCTGCTGCCAAACACTCTGTCGCTATCTTTATAGTTTGTATATATTATTCACTGGTTAATCCATTCACTAACGCATTTCTAGTCTTAACAGCAGTCAAAACTGTTACCTTTTGTACTTTGAAGATCAAAATATGATGTAATTTGATCAATAAAAATTTCTAACCATATGAAGGAATGCACAAAACGTACCCTTTCTTTCAAAAATCGACTATTACATTGGAATGATATACACAAGAGGTTGAAAATATCCATCAAAGTCTATCAT